TCCACCCTCGAATAGGATATTGAATTTAATCCTTTCTCAAAAGGACATTAAATTTATTTGGACCCGAGTGGTCCTGCTTGTATAAACATTGCCAAAATATATATTTCATAAATCATTGCCAAATGCATTGTATTTTCAAAGTTGTTGAAGTCAGAAGCCCGCTTGTAGAACAGAGGAATACATTCAAGAACAAGTAAGAAGGCAGTAAAGCGGAGGGTTACGACAAATTACCCCCAACATAAATTGCACTGCAGAAATCAAAAGAAAGACTGCAAGTCAAGCCAGGAAGAAAAAGCACCCGAAGTAACACAAGCCGACAAGAAAGCAAGACAACAAGAGCAAGTCGGAAATAGAGAAGATTTTGTAACTCATAGTTTAGCCTAGCTTCTCGTTTTCTTTCAGCATGGTGTAATAAGGAGGTCAGTAAGTAGCGATAACAACATGCAACAGCAGTAACAGCAACATCACAGTCACATGGTAGTCCCAGCTACCAAAACTTCCCGAACTACATTAACCTGATTCCCTTTTAGCCAGGGATATGTAGGAAACCTTCGAAGCAAAGGTTCAGTTAAATATTTCAAAAAAATGCTTCACCCGGAGTAGTCCAACGGGCAAAAATCGCTTGTATCCGCTCACTTTATCTTTGCACGAAAACCCTTCGTGTTTTCGGACAAAGCGGGGCAGCTGTGAGCACGTGATTTTTGCCCTATATGAGAATTATTCCCAAAAAAATCAAAATAAAATAATTTTTCTTTGCGTGCAATTTTTGAGAATTTTCGTGGCATTTTGGATAATTATTTGTATTTTTGTCTGTGCATGTTTATTTCTTAAATTAATAAAAAATATAAAAATATGTCGCATTTGCATTTAATATTTAATTCTACAGTTAGGAGTAGTTAAGTTTGTTTTACAAAATAAAAAAATCATAAAAATATTTATTTTGCATTTTTAGCATTTAATGTCCAATCGTACAATTTTATGCTTAATTGGTATTTAATTATGTGTGATAATTGTTATTAGGAGTTAATTAGTATTTTTAGATAATTTTGGGTTTTATAATTTAATCTTAGAATTTTAGCTTTATTAATTAGAAAATTGAATAAATAGAAAAGAACAAAAATAGAAGAAAATCGGGTTGGGCCTTTTCTTCAATTTTTAACCACAAGCCCAAAGAACCAAACCCATACCGGGTCAACTCGACCCGGTCCGCCCCATAACCAAACCACCCGCCCAACCTCCTATCTTCACTTCATTTTCATTTTTCACAAACAAACCCTAAACCTAAACATCCCCCCTCCCCTCTCTTCTTCTCCAAACCAAGCACCCCAAGCTCCCAACCATGGCTGCCTCCTCTTCTCCTTCAACACACACGCACGTACACACACAGTCGTCGACCCCCTAGCCATGTCCACCTTCGATACCCAACACCCCCATCGCCCCAGCTTCGTCTTCGTCGTTGAGCTCGAGCTCCCATGGCTGCCATCTTCTTCGTCTTTTCCATGTCTAGCTCAAGCTCGACAATGGCTGCCCCTTCACCTTTATCTTCTCATCTCAAACGACCACCCAGCAGCATCATGAACGCCCAACTCCTCTAGGCGCGAAGCTCCAGCCATGAACGACCCCGCTGCCACTGCTTCGTCTTCGCCACCCAGCAGCACAATGAACACCCAGCTCCTCCAGGCACGAAGCTCCAGCCATGAACGACCACTGCCATCTCCAAGCTCCAGTCGCGAGCCCAGCATCATTCGTCACAGCAGCTCGTCGCTGCTTCACCTCCATGGCTACTCCAGCAGCGTCGCTGCTGCTACTCCGTCCAGCAAGTAGCACGCCACTGCTACGTTCAGCTGCTTCTTCATTGGTCGTCTTCATCGTCGAGTTATTTTGGTGCGATGATTGTTTCCGGGCAGATTTGTTTCCGTTCGAGTTCGTCGTTGTTCCAATCCGGTTAGTTGGTTTAAGTTTCATTTCTCTCCGTATTTTGTTTGATATTTTCGGATCCGAAATTAGTATAAGTTTGATTCTTTTCTTGTTCATTATTTTCACTTTGATTATTTCTTCAGTTTGTTTTTATTCATTTGTTCTTGTTTAGTTTTAATATAGAAATGTATTAGTCAATTGAATCCGTTACCTTGTTTGTAAAATTGTTAGATTTAGTTTGAGGTGCCACTGATTATTGAGTTTAGTGATTTGAATCTGTTTAGTTGTTCCGTTTAAGTTTAATTCGAATTTGAATAAATTTGTTTGTTATTGTTGTTGAATCTGAAAGTAGGTTTGTTGTTAGAAAATATTGTTTAGTCAAAATAATTCCAGTTGTTTCTTTGTTGTTCATCATTTAGTTTGAATTTGTTGATTGAATATGATTAAAAATTGGTTATAGTTGCTATATTTTGGTTAATTGATTTAGGTGAATTGGTTATAGCTGATGGGGGTAGAATGGTAATTTTACTAATTTCAGAGGGGTATTTTACTAATTAAAAATTTGAGCAATTATTTATTTTGAGTGCTCCGCCCACTAAGCATTAATAATATTAAAATAGTACATGGTGGGGGACAAGACATAATGTAGTGGGGGAATAATATAATTGTTTAAGGTAGGCATGGGGAACAAGATATAATGGTGGGGATAATGTATTTGTTTAATCAGTAATGGGGAACAAGACATATAGTAGTGGGATTACGGGGCTCAAGAAAATGTGACCTTTTCTTTATTCGTTTAATTGTTTAAAGTGGTCTGTTTTTTTGGACATAAATAAGGGGAGTTTAGACAGAATTAAGGGGACTTCTGAAAAATCTTGGAGAGTCAGAGTTAGAGAGTTAAAAAAAATAGACTGGATTTGATCATCATAAATTCAGAGCTTAAGTTGAAAAGAAAACTGATTGGTCAGAACTTAAAAAACTCAGTCTTTGAGAATTAAAAACTGAAAGTAAAGCCTTTTTTTACTACTGAGAATCAGAATATTGTTACTGCTTTTGTGATTTGCATTTGGTACTACTGATTTTCAGATTGGTCTTCCTGGGTTTTCTTTTGGTTCTGGAGTGCTGTTTAATTGAATTCTTGGGTTTCAGCTTGGGTTTCTGATATTGTTTGCTGTTGGGTTATTCCTGAATCTGTTACTGGTTGTGGAATCATCTCTGTTGGTTTTAAAGTTTGTCCCTGGGTGTTCAATTTGCCACTGCTGTTGCTGACTGTTCTTGTTGCTTTGCTACTGCTGTTTTTTTTTTTACTTCTAATATCAGGTACATGGCTGTAATATTATCGATATTGTAAGCTGAAATGTGAAAGCATGAATACATATGAAGAATGGAACTTTGAAGCTTTAATTTAGCTTTTTCTTTGTTTCTTTTACTGATTGTATTTAGGCTATTTCATGTATTCTTATTCTATAAATTTCTGTCGCTTTGCATAACTAGGCATCTTGTAGTGATGTACTAAATAATACTCTGTTTTAGTTTGGTTATTAGGCAGTATATGTTTAAGCATGCTCATTACTGTCAAACTGTTTAATAATTGGAATAAGAGGAAAATAACATAAGTTGGTCTTTAGTGAATCGGCTTGGCAAAACTGGTTAGTTCACTAGCTATGAAGGTTTTAATATTGTCAACAGTAGGTTAATCGTGAACATGTAGCTAAATTTAGTTAAGGCATGAATTTGAACTAATTTCGTGAATTAGGCATTAAGGCATGATTTGAGTTCAAACAAGACTAGATAACGTTTAAGTTTAATAAACTTTCGAATAAGTATTAGTGATTAAGGTTAATTCTAGTTTCAAATATTTGTAAATAATTAATTCCAATGGTTCAAGTCATCTAACAATGTGAGTTTAAACTAGTTATAGGATAATTAGTCTCTTCTGAATATATTATTTGTCGATTCCGTATTTTATTTATAATTTCAAGTTTTAGTAATATTCCTTTCCGTTAACATTTGTCTAAGTCTAACAATTAATATGTTACGCCCTTTTTCAAGCATGTAATCAATTAGGATTTTTCTCTTTTATGTTAGAGACGAATTTAATAAAAAAATATAGTCACTTTAGGATTATCCTTTAAAAATAAATAAAACGAGCCTCGCCAAATAAAATGCACAGGCTGCGGGGCCCTCAATAGATGTTAATAATTGCATAGATTTCGGGAGGGGCCATTTAGCGAATTTCGCGGCCCATCCCAAGATAGTAACGCGATAGTCTCTTTAGGCGCGTGTTTAATAATCTTACCTTCTTAAATTTGGGTGTGCATTTCATGCGACCCTAATCCAAATCCCAAAACATCGAATCAAATGTGTTCAGGATTGCGGGTGCATTTCATGTTACGCAATCCAAAGACATGTTTTAAACGATGTTCAATTTTCTTTAATAATTTGAATAAAAGCGGTTAAAAGTTAAAATTGGCACATAGGTTCACAATTGTATAAAAATCAGATAAACAAGCCGAATATGACAGTTTTGCGACCATGCTAGAACCACGGAACTCGGGAATGCCTAACACCTTCTCCTGGGTTAACAGAATTCCTTATCCGGATTTCTGGTTCGCGGACTGTAATACAGAGTCATTCTTTCCCTCGATTCGGGATTATAACCAGGTGACTTGGGACACCATAAATCTCCCAAGTGGCGACTCTGAATCTTAATAAATAAATCCCGTTTCGATTGTCCTTTGATTGGAAAAACTCCTTGAACCCTCTGCGCCCTCTCAGGCGTGGTTAAAAAGGAGGTGTGACAATATATATATATATAGAAAGTGAAGATTGTGATCTCCAAGAAAGAGAAATTAGTAACTGTAAAGTTATATTTGAAACAAATAAACAATAATAATAACATGATTGTGATCTTTAAACCAGAAAGGTTTATTGACACTAGACACACTTAGCTAGGGAAACTTGAGGGAGAGTGGTAATATATTATCCACTCTTGTTTAAACTTTAATCAAAGAGTCAAATATGTTAGTATGCTTCAATGGTTCGACTCTCCATTCTCTCGTTTAATTGTTACTAAGCTCTCCTTATAAAAATGAACGGAACAACCATCTGTGGTTTTCCAGATGGTTCTCCTCAGGCCTGGATGACGAAATCCGAGATTCCTCGTCGTCTGAGTCCTAACATCATAGGAGAATAGGTGGGAACGTTTATTTACAAAAATGAGAGCGCTAGAATACCAAGACTTTATGTAGGATGTGCATTGAAAGGTAAATTGTTTGTTCCAAACACCTGGTTGGATCATTACCCATATATCACAAACAAATCCTTCAACAACGGTCATGAGGGCAATGAAGTCATCAAGCAATACCAGTCTCACATTGCGATGATTGAAAGCGCGCCCAACATCTGGCCCTCCAATCTCTACAAACACTTCATTGCCAAAGTCAAATAAAAGAACACTACAATCATTAGAAGCACAACTCCCGCCGCCTAGCAGCCAATAATAAGTTCCATTTAAATAAGCAGTACCAAAGGCTTCTACACAGAATTCATGTATGAGATTTGTAGGTTCAAGGATTCTCCACGAATCTTTAGAACAAGAATAGACTGCTGCATACTGTCGAGGGATATTATGATTTCCGATGTCATCCCAGAAAGACCGAAACCAAACAACCTTGTAGTCATTAGTCATGGGGTCTAATCCGAACCCAAACTGACGGTCCATTTGTTTGAAAGATGGTTGAAGCTCGAAGTTGGCTGCAGGAAGGGGCCTCACTTCCCTGGTGGCAGGATTCCACAATGACAAGGAGATGTTGAATATGCTGCCATCGATTTCTCGCTCCAACAAAAATAAGCCATCCACAGAACCTAAAAGGTACGTCATACCTCTAAAGCCCTGGAGATAATCAGGTGGATTTTCAAGTACACTAGCATCTGAAACCGAAACAAAAGTGATCGGATGGGAATCATGTGGGGCACTATGTATCATAAATCAAGATTTGAGGGGATCTGCTCTTGCTGTTCCGATGCATGTGTTCTCTGATGAAGCTATGGCTCTTCATTATCTCGTACCATTTCTTGCAGACACATTTGAATCGCAACAAGGACTCCACTGGCAACCTGAGTAGAATATCCACCGCTAAATCCTCAGGGAAAGGCCGACCACCATTACCGCTAGTAGCCATAATAGTTTCGGCCTTTGGGTGCTGAGTGAGACAGAGAAAGAGGGAGAGAAGGGCAGATCGATCTGTTTTTTTGTTTTTGTTTTCTGCTAATAGGCAGAGGTTTAGATGGAGTGAGTTACCTATATTCCCCATTCTTTTAGGCATCACTAATTATATGATTTAATTACTACCATCAGATGGACTGCCTTATTATTCGATTTTTTTTTAATCATTAAACTCCTCATTTAGTATTCTTCTGGGTTTAGGAGAGGTCTTACTGTTCAATTATATTTTTCTACCTTTTCCTTCTGAATGAGTATTAGTTTCATTGTATGTGTGTTATATGTGTTCCAATATCATGATTAAATATTAAATACTAACATGAATATATATTTAATAATATACTAGTTTCTCCACAGTCATGTAGTATACGGTTATGTAAGATAATAGCAATATTATAAAAATAAATCTATGAGTAAATAATTACACATAAAAGATTAAAGTACAAATTTTTATGAATGAAAGTGCAAAATTTCATAAAATAAGGAAGCTTAGAGAACATATTAATATTTATTATCAGTGAGTATTTGAAAATTAAACCTTGTTTGTGACCGTCACCTTTATCAACACTGTGGCAGTTTGATTTATTGCAATAAAATATTTCTCACAAAAATCTTATGATTCTTTCCTGTATGAAACTTACCCAAATTAGCAAGATTGGACACTTCAAAGTTGAGAATATTTTAATTTTATGAAAAATAAGTCAAGAACTAATTTCTGACAAATCAGAAGTACTAAGTAGCATCACATACATCGAAAGCAGTTAATTATCAAAGTGTAGGGAGTAATTAGTCATATTTTGAAAGGAGCATGGATCAATAGAGTTTGTTGAGTTATGTCATACATCGGTTGGTTATAGGTATTTTGGTCTCCTTATATGGTCTTGGACAGTCCACACTTCATAAGCTAGCTTTTGGGGTTGAGTTAGGCCCAAAGTCCATTCTTATCAGAGTTAGATTATGCCTTTTAAACTATTTTAAAAGTATGAACCATTTACCACAAATAGGCTCATACTCTTTTTTAATTTTCTAATGAACATACTGTCACACCTCCTTTTTACATACCCGCGTGGGTACAAGGGAGTTTTTTCCAATTAAAGGACAATCGAAATGGGATTGATTTATTTATTTCAGAGTCGCCACTTGGGAGATTTAGGGTGTCCCAAGTCACCAATTTTAATCCCGAATCGAGGAAAAGAATGACTCTATATTATAGTCTGCGTACCAGAAATCCGGATAAGGAATTCTGTTAACCCGGGAGAAGGTGTTAGGCATTCCCGAGTTCCGTGGTTCTAGCACGGTCGCTCAACTGTTATATTCGGCTTATTTATCTGATTTTTAATACAATTATGAACCATGTGCAAATTTTATCTTTTNGTTATATTCGGCTTGATTATCTGATTTTATACAAATGTGAACTTATGTGCCAATTTTATCTTTTAACCACTTTTATCATTCACTATTTATTTTATAGGACTTGCAATGTCGTGAAAACATATCTCGAACCACGTTACAACAATACACCCGTGGTTATTGACATATCTCGACTCAGTTGAGATTTGGATTTGGGTCACATAAATGTGCACCCGAATTAAGGAGAATGAATTATTAAGACGCGCCTAAAGCAACTAACGTATTGTTATTTTGGGGAAGGCCGTAAAATTTACTAAACGGCCCGTCCCGAATTCTAAGTATTTTAATATATGTGCATTTAGAGGGCCCCGCAGATTCTACATTTTTTTTGTTTGTCGAGGCTCCTCTCATTTTATTATTAAAAGGAATTTACAACGTCATGGAAATGCATCTCGGGCCACGCCACAATCAATGTGCCCGTGACTAGAGACATATTTCGACTCCGTTGAGATTTGGATTTGGGTCACATAAATGTGCACCCGAATTAAGGAGATAATATTATTAAAGGCGCGCCTAAAGCAACTAGCGCATTATTATTTTGGGTAGGGCCGTGAAATTTGCTAAACGGCCCGTCCTGGAAACTGAATGCTTTGATATATACATTTAACGAGGGCCCCGCAGCTTGTGCGTTTTTATTTCATTTGTCGAGGCTCATCTCGTCTTTATTTTAAAAGGATATCCTATAGCAACTACGTTTCTTGTCGCGTTTATCTCTACTAATTGAAAGCAGAGATAGTCCTAGTTAATTATATGCCTGCAGGTCATTTATAGCAGGATTCAGAATGCTTAAAAAATCAGAAACAAGGCTGCGCCCCACGGACAAGCGATCGAATCTCATGGGCTCAAGCCCAGTTTGTGCGGGATTGGCCAGGCTTGGGCCACTAATTTTCCGACCAGGCCTGCTTGGTCCGTTTAAACTTGGGCTCGACCTTTATGAGGTTGAGACCGTAAACTTATGTTCTTTGTTCTAAAGGTGTGGCTTATAAATAATTATAATAAAGCAGTTTATCAAAAGGAGATGAACTTAACTAGTAATGGATAGTTTCATGCTTGGCATGTATTAAAGAATATGTTACACAATTAAACTAAGTCTAGGATACAACCTACTGCATTGGGAATATTTTTACCTAACAGCATACATATACAAACTAACATTCAATCACCATACATTGATATCTACTAGGCGTGCA